AATATTAGTTAAAAGGCAACGAAGGGAAAAGCATCGTTTTGGAGTCATGAGATTACAGCTTTGTCTATCTCTGTATTTATATATATGTTATATATGTGTGTGTGTATGTGTGTGTGTGTATGTGTGTATCTGTGTCTGTATGGTGTCATCTGCTAAGGGTGGTAGGTTGGACATTGAGCGTTGTAAAGTCTCAAAGAAAAAAAAATTGGAATTTTGTTAAATTGAGTCTTTTTTTCAATCCTCAAAGCTATTATCCATTCCAATCCTTCAATCCAATTTTATCTTTACAGATAGATATATCGATATCCTGACAGATATTCTAAAAACATCCTATTCATCCTGAAATATTGTTGATCGCTTCATTTGCATTGGATTAAGTTAAATATTGATTTCTAAAAATTTCGATATTCTATTTTTGTTTTTTTTTTTCAATTTGAAATTTATTTCTTAAAAGAGCGAAGGAATGACAGATAATGATGATATATTGAGAGGAAAAGTTTTTCCTTAATTTTCGAATTGAAATCATTTAGTAAATATATATATATATATATATATATAGTAGAGGGAATCAAAGGTATATTTTCCTTAAAGTATTTTAATCGTTAAAATTTGAATTATTATTTAGTTAACAGCTGAAAATTACGACGTAACAAAAATAAAAAATTAATTATTAAAATTAATTATTGATCTTAAAACGCCATATAATACTGTAAAATTAAATGAATGATATATTGAAGTGCATAGAATAATGCAAAAAGTTATTAATTAAAACAAAAACCTTCGTTGGCAATATTAATGCTATAATGTAAATGCTTGATCTTGATTTGATCTTATCAATTTTTATCTTATTAATATGGCTATGATTTAAAATGTCATTCGTAGTTTGTATGGAAGTTTAGATTTCTAAACGAACTTAATATAACTGTTCCATATCTTTGAAGATTTCGAAACACTATTAAAAACATAAATTTCAGAATTTAGAAGTTAAGAATTAGAAAAAGTGATGTAGAATCCTTCATGAGAGGGATTCAGTGAGGGAAATATTTACCTTTTTGATTTTAGAATTCTCAGAAGAATATAAGTGGATTAATGATTTCTCGCTATTGCAATTACCTGTATTAATTGAGGAGTTCTTTTTGTATTTCTCTGTTTGTAAACTAGGCTGAAGTAATTTTTCAAAAAATTCAAATCTTTTCGTCATGATTTTTCAAAAATTTCAATTCCTTGTTTTGAATTTAATTTAATAAAACAAAAAGATTTTATGAATCATTTTTAAATTTCCACGTATATAAATTAATTTTATTAACTGATTGCAAATTGGTTTGATTGATTTCAAATCTGAAAATCTACTAGAATGAGGTAGTAAAAAATTTTTGGTACCAATTAATTCTCTCTTATTTCATGCTATTCATTCAAAATAAGGTCTTTTTCTTTACAGTTTAGAAAGCAACATTCTAAAAGTGAAATGTTGCTAAGATATGAAACCTAAATAATCAATAATCAAGAAGGCATACAAATATAAGTTTATTTCTTCTAATTAATTAATCTTAAAATTTCTCATCAGGAAGAACTGTCAATAGTTTAAATTCGTTTTCGATTTTAATACTTGCTAATTCGTATTTTACTTCAAAAGCATTAGTTTACATTTTTCAAATTTAGATATAAAGTTTAGAATGAGATATAAGTGATATTTTCGACAGTGTAGTGATTTCCTTTGAACTAATCTATGCTTATATTTTAGTGCAAAATGTAATAAGGGAACAGTCTACTCTAAGTAACTGTTCCCTTATTAAATGGAAAATAATGAAATGGATGTGTGTTGAAATGGAAATGTGATGAGTGTCACATAATTGTCGCGACAGTATATTGAATAGACAATGTAACTGCAGAAAATTAACTTTTTTTTTCTTCAGTAAGGCACATCTCATTCGGCATTAATTCAACTGATGAAACTTGAAAAAGCAGGCCTTATTCTTCTTTTCCATTTCGAGGCAGTCTGAAACAACGATGAAAAGAGGAATAGCCTAAAATGGAAGGCACAGAATATATGCTAGACAATTTTAAATCCTAAAAAATTTCTTAATTTAATTCAATTAAAATTTAATTCAAAAAATTCAATTAAAATGCTAAATTTTATTTTACAAGATTGAATTTAGTAATCAAGTAATTTAAAAAGTTTCAAATGATTGTAGAAATTTTTCGTATTGATAAAATCAATTGAAAGATTGATAAATTTGTTTATTTATTTAATTAATATTTCTGAATGATAAATTTTATCGAAATGGCGGAAGAATTTTAGCTGTTGTAAAATTTAATCCAATTATTAGTTAGTTAGTTAGTTAGCTAGTCAATGATTTTGACCACAATTCAACTATTCATCAAATATAATGAAGCATCTATGATTAAATTCCATATAACATTTAAATAGCGAATAATATAAGAGTTGAATGGCAATGAGAAATGAATAATAGAGTGCAATGAAAGCAGAAAACTGTAAGCAAATTTAGAGAGTTTCCTAAATTGGAACGAATCGATCTATCTAATACCATTATTTATACTAAAGGAACAATCTAAATATCGATCCAAAATTTTGCTAACAAGTGAAAATTCATGGTTATTAGTTCACAAAATTTACAATGAAAGATCTTTAAAAAAAAAATGAAATTGCACATTTTTTAGCTATTGCCAGCTGTATTACCGTAGGTTTTCTCAGAAAATTTCAACACGTATAGCTATTGTCAAAAATTTTACGTCAGAATATATTTTAGGAATGATATATGTAAATGTAATCAAATTTGCATTCAATTGCTTAGAAGCTATATGATCATCTAAACTATCTGCATTTAATTATCATATCAAAATTCCTTTACTGAAATCTATTCAAATGTAACCTACACGAAAAGCCTGTAATAATTCAAGGATGATTGCATTTTGCTGCTCAGAAATAGTTTATAAAAGGTAAAGTACCTTTTGTTCTTAAAGCATTTCACTCTAATTACTCAAATTTTACTGGCAGATAAATTTTTTAAAAATAACTTAAAATTATTAGTGGAAGATTTTTCTACCATTTGAATATGTTATTTGTTTAATACAAGCAAATGTAGGAGAGAATATCAAAAAGCATAAGTAAAATAAAAAGTAAACAGATAATGATAATGGCAATTTTACATGTAGCAAGAAGTATTAAAATGATAAGCATCTCTAGCAGCTGCTAGGCTATCCTTCATTTCTCTTGTCCATTTTAACATATTACCAAAGCCAAATTATTATTGACGATAGCTAACTTTAATCATAAGGAATATCATCATCTCTCTGTCTTGTAGAATGAAAGCTTATAAATGCAATTGTACCACTAATAGAAGCGCTTTTGGGATATGATTAAGAAGAATTGATTGTTATTATGAAACAATTCAGCTACGTTTGATTTACCAGTTTGTTGTCATTTATTGTTAAAAGCATTTTCAAAAGATAGCGAGTATTTCGTAATGATTTAATCTATGTTTTATGACGCTTCAAAAATTACCTTTCTTGATTTTATGCTAACCTGTTTACTCTCTTGATAACATGTTTACTCTCAGATGAACAGTGAAATAACGAACAAAGACAAATATAATATATATTAAAAATAGACTTCTATTTTGACGCTATGTATTGATCAAAAGGGTTCACATTTGATTGATCGATTGATTGATTGATTATAAAAATCCTAGCTAATTATTATCACTATTCTTCTGATAATTGACAACGCGTTACATTCCACTTATATCGGCGAACTATGTTGAGTTCGATGATTTCGAATAATTTTTTGGTGCGATAACAATTGACGCTGCTCAATTAAACTAATCCATCTGAAAAGACAGCAAAGGATTACAGAATGCGTACCCGAAATATGGCTAACCATAGGACAATTAATGTTCCAGCAGGGCCTAGTCGATACAATTTGCTCCTCAACCAGCTGGATCGTCATCATCCAACATAACTTTCACTGGAAATAAAATGTTTTTTAAATGATTTCTATCTCTTTATTGCTACATCTATCCATTCGTTCATTTCTCGCAAAATAATATAAAAGGCAATATTTCACATAAAAATTCAAATATATTTTATTTTGCAAGAAAATCAAAAGAAAGAAAATGTCTTAAGTCTAAATTATAAAATGATTAGTTAATGGTTGCAGTTGGACGGATGTATAACGTGAGGATACAAAAGTAAAAAACGTGAAAATAATATTAATCCAACGTGTTGCATGAAATTGCATGCATGAAATCAACGTGTTGCGTAAAATTGCATGCATAAATCATGATTATAATAGATCAGAATGAAAATAACCGATTGATTATTATTGCATATTCCATTCATAGCTTAAAAAATGATGAGAATTGATACAAAACTGCTATTGTTTTAAACATAATAAAATAGTCCATGCATCATTCATTTGAATGCATGAAATCAATTTCATTAAATTATAAAAATAATGAATCCATGACATCATAAATTGAAACAAATTAGACTATCAATGATAATGATAAGATATCAGAAGTGTTAAGATACTATTGCTGTGTGATTTCAGTTTAACATTATCACTGCATTACTTAAAATATGAGCAGACAGTAATCTATCGAACTAAGCTTACATCCAAGCATTTATTTCAATCAATTTGTAAAGAATTAATGATAAAATTAAACGATAATAAAGTATTAGCAAAGCAAAGTTCTATTCGTTCGAGTCAATATTTCATGATAAATGGTATTGTTACATCGATTAAAGATTTATGATAAATGATTAATGATAAATGATATTGTTACATCGATGCATATTCACAGATTCAACTAGTCAATATTACTCTTTCGTAAGTTGAAATAGTTATTTTCACAGTGATCCAGTGATAGCGGATGATCACTTACATGAAGGGTATATGGCGGTAGTACTTTTGGGTACGTAAGAGTAGGGATAGACGAGTGTTGGAGGTTAGTATTGCAAGAAAGCGTGATATTTCAGGTATGAAGAAGAAGAAACATTCATTTCCAAAGCGTCAAAATTATGTTACAAAATTAAATTCATCAAGTATTGGAGAATTTGCTGCATCCAATAATGAACATTCAATGGATAGCACAAATGAACTTTCTGCATGTACGACTTCAATAACTTGATGATTCTGTCGTATCTTCTAGTTCTTCTATATAGGGAAATTTCAAGTATTTCTAACAATAGATGTTGTGAAGTATTCGAAATAAAATGATTTCAAATCGATGGTACAGTGATTGTCTCTTTGCGATATTATGTCCCTTAAAATTCAAACATTTAATTCAGTTTCTAATTTCGCCGTAAATTCGATCTTAGAGAAACTATTGTTGCTGTAGAGATTTAGAATAGAGATAATGCATGCGAATTTTGATTTTCCAAAAGTTATTCGATTTTGCAAGGATTTACAATGATGGAAGCTTCATTGTTCTTTTCCTAAATAGCTTTCTAATATTCTTCGTTGTTTAAAATTTTAGATGAAGTTTTGCTGCACAAAAAAGGTGCGATAGATGATATCGAGTCCAGTTTGAGTAAAGGAAAAATGATGCCTAATTTAACTGGTAAAACAGAAGTTAGTTTTTTTTCATTTTGACCTTGCAGTATTTCCTTTTTCTCAAAAGTAAAGCTTAGCGTTTGAAATTCAAACATAATTCTATAATTTGCAATGAAATGATCGCCGCTACTTGTTATTGTGGTAGGTGATTATTAAAGGCCATGTGTTTTTATCACAAATGATGAAATACATTGAAGCGAATAAACTTTTAGTGCACTTTGTCATCCTAGCTAGCTTCGTTTTTTTTCCTTTTTCCTTCAAAATGAATAGAACTAAATGATATCAAAATTATCTTTCAAATTTACGTCTCCATTAAGGAAATGCTGAATTCAATTAAAGCATCCGTGAATGTAAAAGACCAAAGATTATATACCTTGGGTCTTTTCATGGGTACTTTAGTTATCGGTTCCATTTACTTTTGGGATGTGTCATCCTTTTTGCCTTTTTTGTAAAGACGGATGGACGTTGTAAATCTTTATAGTAAATCCTTTGAGCTAAATTTGCAAATTGAAAAAGTTGCTTTTCAGTTTCCATTTGCTCCCGAAATTAATTATCATAGCGTCGCAAAGTTTTGCTCTTAACGTGTTTTCATTATTAATTTTTTCTGATGTTTATTCTGAAGTCTGATTCTGAAGAACAGAAGTACTACGCAAATATCGTACTATGCAAATAATTATATTATTTCACTGAAAAAGAGATGTTTAGGACTGCAAAAGTTTTACGAAGAGAGAGACAAACAAGTTAGCATCGAATTTTCTCTCTGGAAGTGTCCGTGAATACGGTGATGAATTGGATGAAATTTATGAAACTGAAAAAAAAGAAAGAAAATTAACAAGGGGAGAGATTCGAAAAGGAATTAAACGAAAACTTAAGACAGGTTTACTTTATTCACTGTTACCTACTGTTATTTAGAATGAAAAATAATTTGGCTAGCTTTACTTCGTTTCTTATAATCTTTATACCAAAATCATGGAAAGTTGTCTTTACTATGATGGCTAAATTACAGGACAAATGTTATTCACTGATAAACATTGTTTATAGGTAAATCAGTTGATAAAGGAGGATTAAATGATTCGACTAAAATGCGAAGGCAGACACATTCAAATGGTAGTGTCTTCAGCTCATTATTTAGGAAGGGTGACAGTTTGGAAGAAATGCCGGATTCACTGGAACAAAACACGTGTGACAAAGCTCCACAGAATTCTAAAAAAAAGAAAAAGAGGAAAATACAGAAGAAGGTCCAGAAAATAATTTGTGGTGGGAAAGTATGTTCACTTATTTGGAAAAGGATTTCAGATTCAACTTGAATTCTTACCACTGTTTTGAAAGATTTTAAAGAACATTGTTTTTCAACTAGTAAATAAAATTCACTGGAACTCATCTGAAACATATGAGCTTCGGTGCATTTCATTTGCAGCACCAAGAACTTCACTCGGTAATAGTAAAAATTATTTAAAAAAAATCTTCAATTTTTCACTTTATATGGAGGCAACATATAAAATATTTTTACAGACTATTGATTATATTATGGGTGAAGGAGAAGAAGCAGCTGAAATTGGTGAGCGCAAAAATATGAAGAATGGAAAAGGGCAAGATAAGGAATTCGAATTATATGACGATCTGAGTGCTTGCTCTTCGTTCTTGAATGATGGTAAGATTAAGTCCAATTTTTCCAATAAATTTTTGCAAATAATATACACTTTATTCAAATTCAAATAGTACTGAATGAAAGCACAGCACGACACTTACTTTCAGAAGAAGAAGGAACTGCAAATGATATGGTTCATGAGAATTTTGTAAAATGTTACGGAATAGAGGAGAATGAAAATGTTCAGGGCGTAGTTATTGATTTTGAACAGAAACCTTTCTCATCTCATTGTGATTCCGTACAAAATGGATTGGATGCTTTTCAATGGCTTATTGACTCCTATGATATAGCACAGTTTTTCAAGTTTGTTATCTCTACTGTTAAAATCTGCCTATCGAAGTCTATTTAAACTTATTTTTCAAAATATTTCAGAACAGTATTCCAGAAAGAAGTATTTTGCATCTGTCGTAATAACCCAAATTACTACGGCAATTTATTTAGCACAGCAAAATTTATCGACATTCTGCGAACGGTTTGTTGTTAAATTTTAATTGTTAATACTTCTCACTTTTGATTCCATGAATTTTAAAATTCTGTACAAAAATTGGCAGTTTAGAATTATGTCGAATACGGTACCAATGTAAATGTTGCTGTGTACAAGAATCAACAGAGGAGAACTTTAAACGGTTCTGGGAGAGTTTATCCTCAAGAAATACAAAAAAACATTAAGGTATGAAATCAAAAATTCCCAGAGAACAATGAATGAATTTTTCTTATATTGATTATACATTTCAGTTTTTTAGTAGAATGAACGAAGCAATTCACAGTAATAAATATGAAGTTCACGGTATTTTTTAGTTAAAATATATTTTTGGGTTTTAGGCTGGTTGTTCAATACAGTTTACAAATCCTCAAAGCTTTTGTGACAATGTTTGGTACTACTGCGATTTATTACAGGAGGTATTTGGCTGTTTTGTAGGAGCTAATACGTATGTTCTTTTCATATAGTTACATTTAGGAACTTCTTTTTCAGTAGTTAATCTCGTTTTTATTCTGTTTGAACATTTCAAAATAGTAAATGATTGACTGTCTCTAATGTTCATTTTTCTTTCAGAAAGTATGATTAGAATTCTGAGGATAATGATTGCAATTGTGGTTAAAATATATGGTGCATTTAGCAAATAATTTGTGTTATTATCTGTTTTTAGAATATTTACTTGAAATTCCATTGCTCTTTTCCTAAAAAAAGTGATTTCTTTTTATTGATTGCTCTTTTATTTTTGACCTTACAGTTATATAACCCCCAAAAATACGGCCGGTTTCGCTCCTCATTGGGACGATATAGATGCTTTCTTGCTTCAACTAGAAGGACGAAAACATTGGAAGATTTATGCACCGATCGACGATAATGAAATGCTTCCTCGACTACCCAGCGGTATGTGTCATTTTTTTCCTAATACATAATGGTCTGTAAAATGATATTGTCCAAATGATATGTTCAGGTAATTTTACGGATGATGATCTTGCTAATCGTACTCCTGTTTTCAATGATTGGCTGGAACAAGGCGACATGGTATATATTCCCCGAGGTTTTATTCACCAGGTAAGCTATCCTGAACAATTTCGTATTAAGAAAAACTTCCTTCACTATCTTTACTAGTATGTAATTTTTTTTTTTTTTAATTCAATAATGTTTCTCTCTTGCTATTATTTTATTCACATCCTCCTTCAAGGAACAAAGCTAGTTTTATTGATAATTATTTTTCTGATATGTTTTATCTAGTGAATTTTTGAGATCTCTCATCGTTTTCTGCAGGATGCATTACGTGTTGGAGACTGCACTGTGCAGTTTTTTTTCGATATTTGTTTTAATATTATATGTTTGTACTGTAATTTAATAGGTCATAAATTTAGGGTTTCGCAGACAAAGATGTTCATTCGTTACATCTCACAGTCAGTGTTTGTCGCAATGTCGCTTATGCTGATCTTCTGGAACATATCATTCCCGCTGCTTTATCTAATTTTGCTGACCAGCACGTAAGCATTCGCAAATCCTTACCAGCTGGTTATTTGGATATGACGGGTGTATTGAAATGCAACTATCCATTGTTCAAAACTGGTACTATGAAGTATGCATTTTATGAGTCTTATTCGCAAAAATATGAATTTGTATCATGAAAAAGGACAGTAAGCTTTTGAGTAAAAAATGCAGATAAGTTTTGAATGAACCCTGATAGTTTAGGATATATGATAACTATATAACAAGTAAACAGTCAGATTTCTTTCCCTTGAACTTTTAGGATTTTAGAGAGAATTATCTGTTTCGTATATATAATAAAGAGAAGAGTTTAAGGTTACACCGCTTTCTCGATTCTATGTTTTCAAATTTCTGCAAATATATTAAAGAGTTAAATGAACCGGCTATTGATATGATGGCCAGAGAATTTATGAAGACAGCACTTCCACCTGTGCTCACCGAAGGTAAATTTGGAACTGCAGAGTCTAATATTTTATTTCTTACATTCGGTGTTTTGGAATTAGAACGTTTTCTGTGTTTTTGTAATGATAACTTAGTAGTTTCATCCGTGCCTATTGCTTTTTGTTTAAAGTAAAATAATGCATATCTCATGTGCACTACAATGACGTGGTTAATATGACTAATCCTTAGAAATGCAATATTTTCAACACGGCATAAGAAGTTAAAATTCGTATGCTGTCAAGTTTGAAATCCTCATTAGTTTTCAATGACTAATTTTCTTTTAAAGAGGAGAAAGATATGACAGCATTATGCGTTGCCGGTTCGTCGTTATATGATGATAATGAGCACGTTTTTACAAAGGATGTACCAATCAAGCTTTTAAGAAGACATGGCCAAAGGTGACTTCTACAATAATTCTAGGATGATGTCTGAGTACTACTGTCTAAATTCAATTTAATTCAAGTTGTCGTATGATGAAGGCGATGTGTCAGATTTAGACCGTTCAGTTTTCAGAGAGAAGTTTGCGCTATAGAAATTTGATAATCTTTTTTCCAGGCTTATTTATGAGTCGGAAGAATGTTGTTTTATTATACATCGAATGGCGAATTCGAGAGTTTATGAAGGAAGGCCGGAAGTTTTGTTTGATCTGGATGTGGAAGTAAGACTCTACTTTTTTCTCTGTCGTGAGGTTGAATTTTAACTTAAGTTGCTTAAATTAAATTTGAATTCCAGCTTGCGGAGGGATTTGCAAATTTACTGGATGTATATCCTCACTGGTGTTTAGTATCGGATTTGAAATGCAATACTGTAACCGACAGCATCAGATTGGCAAAACTTCTATACAGCAATGGACTACTTATGGCTAAATTTCCGAATATTATGGACTGAAGTTAAATTATGTCAATCAATAAAAAGCAGTAATTTGCTTTTTTACCTGTTATTGTTTTTTTGAGTTTAATAATGAAAAATAGTTTATTGTATTATTAATATTAGCGACGACTCGATGTGATTTTAATCTATGAAATATCATTTCATAACTCTCATAATTTTCAGCAAAATTTCATTTTTAAATTATTTATAAACAAAATTGAAACTTTTTGGAACTAGTTCCAGCAACTAGTTACTTTATTGCTCATCCTGAATTTCATTTTAAGTATTTCTGCCTGATTTAGTATTTTTTGAAGATCACATGTACCCCATCGCTAATGTTTATTAAGTAATTGTATACGCGGGAATCTCTTGAAGCTCTCTGATTTGTTTCGTCAACAGCTGCCGTACTGTAATCCCTTAGAGGACCAGGTCGATTAACCACGCTTCCACCCCATAAAGCCTGGAAAACGAAGCTATCTGATCCGAGATTTTAGATTGCAAATTCAAGACCCTAGTAGAAATTCAAAAATTACAGCAGCATTCTTGCAAATTTCGAAAACTCACGTTATCAATTACTATAACTCCTCCAGGTCGCAGAAGTTGAACCGATTGTTCATAATATTGTGGATAATTAATTTTATCAGCATCGATAAATATGAAGTCCCATTTTTCAGCTTCTCCAGAAGCGAGCATTGCATCTGAAACTTGGGAATTGAGAACTGTTTTAAACTGTTTGCATCATATGGAATCCATTCATTTCGTGAAGGAACTAATACGTAGAAACTTGAAGTTCTCGTGGGACATTTGAACACTAACTTTATGAATGTTGTTAAAAAATCTTTGGTAGTTTTTTGTTGTTTTTGTTTAGTAATGGTTAAAGGCTTGTATTTCGGAACTGTACTTGCCTAATTTTTGTGCCGCTGGTCCCACATGTCGCTTGATTTTTGGGTAAATGTCTGGTCTATCACTGATAAGTTTACTGCTGATACTGTCATAACTTCCCGGATAGATATCGATTGTCAACACTTCGCTATCGCTTGGCATTCCCAGGGCCCAGGCTACAGCTGACGAACCAGTATAAGTGCCTAGAAGTGAACAGTTTACCTGTTTCATAGAACAAGGTATAGCAAAATGAAGTTCAGGAAGAAGTATAAGGTAACAATGAAAGTCCTTTCATAGAAAAATTTAGGATTTGATGGATCACATGATCCCCAAAATAATTTTAGAGGTTTGGATTTTCAGATTGAGAACGGCTTGCTAGCTCGTAGTTTTTAAACCTATATCGATAGCCTTTTTGGCTTTTATTAGATGTATAAGGTTCTGGCCAAGCTGGAGTACTTCTGGAGCTGCAATCATCCCCCCACTTGGGAGGCTTAATGTCCTTTCAAAGATCATTCTCTGAATTGGATCCATTTTAACTGATATCTGAAACATAAAGAATTAAAGAATTAAAAGTTGGTTTTCACGCAACAGAAATTTTTTAATTATTTGATCAAAGTAAATAGAAAACAGTGAGTTTCGATCACGAACAACGTTTGATAGGGTAGAAATGACTCAGTTTATCATCCAATTTGTTCCATGGAAATAAAATATTAATTTTAATTTAAGTAAGTAAGTCAAACAAATTACCACATTTACCATCTTTTCCACATTTACCACTTTTTCCTGCAGTTATTATTAGTGCCGCCATCAGATTTGTTATGATTTGTTGGGTTGATGTAGGAGTTGATAATGATAAGTGAATAAAATATCTTTTCATGTTACAACTTATTAATGTGGAAGTAGAAAACACGAATGACGATAAAAATTATGTTATCACATACGTCGACACAATATTGGTAGACGCTATCCCTATGCCAAGGGATTATGCCTGTGAAGCTTTCCACAAAAATACCAGATAATATCAGTAACACTCTGATAAACCAATACATCATGTTGTTGATAGATATGACTAAAGATTGATAATTTTGGGAAGAGCGGTTCACTGAAGAAACAAATTGAAATTTTGATCGATATTGTCATTTGGAATTAATTCTGTGTCATTTAATTTAACTTTTGCACTTTTGTCGTTCAACTTAACTTTGCACTTTTTGCGATAGGAAGCAAAAATAGAAGAGAACAGCATCTGTCGAATTTGTTAAAAATTTTTTTTTGATAACTACTGTTATAAAGTATTACAAAAATTTCGATTTTAACTTTAAAAAATGTTTACAACGGTTACTGGAGGGATTATTACGTAGCAGTTATTAAAAGAAGCAAATTTTTTGACAAATACAATAAGTAAGCTGATTGATCCTGCATTGGTTCTATCAAGAAATTTAGATCCTCATAGGGATGGCATTGGCAATTTATTATTTTTAGAATGTGTAGAAAATCTTTTACAATCATCTTGTTATTATTGGTAAACACTTGTCTTTTATCTTAATCTCCTCTTACCTACACAGTTTTCCTCATTCCTAGTGGATTAAAGAGATTGGATGAGTATTGCCTCAATTTCTTGGGTATCGCTCCTGAAAGCAAGAATATCGTAAAGCATTGCTACCCTTTATATGACACCCTAGAATGATAGCTTGTTTATTGCAGTAACATCCATACCGAAACATACTTTTATTATTAATAAAATAAAGCTGTTAAGCACGTATTTTAGAAGAAATGTTGAAGAATCTGAATTCCTGAATATTCTACTCTTTGCGAAATCGCACAATCGCACCATAATTCCTCCAAGACTTATGGTGCGTTGCTAGGGTTAGGGAACTGGAAATAACCAAAGAAATCACATAAACTACTTTGAAAATTCTTTCTCATAGACCTTAGTCTCACGGCCACACAGTTTATTAGGCGAACAGAAGGGAACACAAGCTTTTATACATATCAGTGTCAATATAGTTAAGAATTTTACTAACCGCCTGTCCATTCCAATAATAAAAGGTATACCGAAACATGATTGTCATTTTTTTTATGCCCATAAAGTGCATTTACTTTTCAGTGTAAAGGTTCATGAATACAGATAATGTCGTGAACATCGTGATACATAGTGTAAACTTATTAAATTAAAATGCTGGAAAGAATACCATTTTCAAAATTTCTTCGAAATATATTCATGTAATACGTCCAAAGCCTTTTCAAGTTGTACATGTGTGAAGTTTTTCCATTGATTAATATTTTATTTTTTCGCCCCATAAAAAAGAATATTAATGAAGTAGCAAAACGCAACCAATAAATAATAGATTTAAAAAAATTAGGGGAACACATGTCAGAATTAATACACCACAATATCACCAAAAACAAAAGTTTTCAGTAACGAAAATAAAAAATAACTTGACTTTAAACGGCTTTCTTCCGCTTTTATTATAATCATAAAAAAGGTGTAAATTATTAAATTAAAAATAACGATTAACATTATCCAAAATATCACTATTCGACGAACACAAAGTGGAAAACCGTGAAGTAAATAAAAATAAAACTAAGGCTGAGAACATTCCTTAAAAGCATTATGAAAGCAAAACTTGAAAATTTCCTCACAAATTTAAACCAATATTCATTGATAAGTTAATCCTCAGAAATTGTAGTATCATTTCTGATCCGATGACCTCTATCATCAAAGTTTGAAAGAGGTGATGCATAGGTAGAATTCCAATCACGCATGAAGATTTTTTCATTCAAATTATGAACTATCTCAGAATTTAGAGCCTCGTCATGTTTTTGTATCACTATACTAGCGCCTGCAGTATTAATGAAGTAATCAGCTGACCAGTTCGACGTGCCTAAAATAAATTTTTGACAACAAATGATAGAATGCAAACTACCAAAAAGTGTTACCAGAAGCATTTCTTTTAAATCTCTATAAAATTCCCAATGAGAAAATGTATACGAATTCCATGTAATCTATACGAAACTTATTCAAAGCTAATAACTTTCGAGTTGCTCTATCAATCAACGAATGCGCAAAAAACTTGTTGGAATTTTTCAACAATAGGCTGTAATATAAGGAAATCTGAAACGAAGTTACATCTGTCATTCTTCAACAGATAATAATCGGCACACATTATTCAGAAAAGAATATCAGTACAATAGTTAACTTGTAAAGTATTTCCTACATTTTTCTAGCAAACTTTCAAAAATCAAAAATTAAATAAAAAATATATACCGATTAAAGCACTATTATCCGTAACCATATACTTCGCATGATTTACACGAGCGTATGGAATACTTTTATGATCGCCTTCTGCTGGTACTATGAATATGCGCACTTCAATGGAACCTGTTGTGTTTGGTATACAAATCAGCTTTTTCTCTATAAAAGAAAATCAACTTCAGAACTTATGACAGAAATTTGATCTGAATAATTCAACATCATCGGCCCATATTTTCTCAATCTTTATTCATTGACTTGAAAGTGCTTTAAAACAATCTCAGTACAAGATTATTTAGTTTATCATACTTCTGAGTTGATCGGACACAAATTTTTAAGAAAATTCTGCGATACTTTTGTCATAAAACCATTTCATTTACAGTAAGAGTATCGGTGTTTAGAATAATACGCTCAGTGAGTTTCCGGAGATATTCTCGCTTTGTTTTGAATTGCTCAGACAATAAATAATAAATGTCCAGGAGGAATTTCATGAAAATTGTGTATTTCGAAATCCACAACTGTTTTTAAAAATTTTACTTTTTGTATCATACATTCGTTTGCAAGGTAAAGTTGAAGTGATGACTGCTAATGACTTCAAAAATGCAAATAATGTCGGTCGTGTAGTTCTCCACTTGCTTATTAAGAGTTTCACCTCGATACCATTGTATGCGGCTTTTCGCAAAGCATCATCGATAACAGGCCAATATCTGCAGAAAGAATGAAAACCGAAAAAGTGTCTTTTATAATAAAAATAATTGAAATTTGAATTATATACCTGTTATTTGTTAAATATAGAGTGGCCGGAAAGTAATCCATCACGGATATATGTATAAACTTTCGAGCGGCACTGATAACTTGTAAAATTGCTTCGAGATCATCTATACGACCCTTGGGACAGAAAATTCGAGGTGCAGACTGCAAAATGGATCCTCGTTACAAAAACAGAAAGTTAAAAATGTTTTTAGACTCAGAATAATTTCCGATTATTAAAAAAAAATAATATGAGGAGGTATGACAGCGAATAAACATAGCTACAAGCTACTTTCGAGATTTATAGAATTCCATAAAATTACTCATCTATTTTGCCACTTGATTTGAAATAATTAGTAGCTGCAACACGGAATAAATTACCGAAATATAAACATCATTTTTTTCACCGTTAAATGTAGCTACTATTGGATTCCTTGCGTTATAAAGAGTCGCCAACTCATTCGGCCATGACGATGGCACTTTCTTTCCCGGCGCACCCATTTCCCAGTAAACATTCATTACTTTCATTAAATCTTCTGCCAAACATTCACAACTAAATACAGCGACACCAAGTTCTTTAACCTTAAAACATTAAAACCAAACTAACATGAGAAGTTTTTAAATCAGATTTTTATTTTAAACTAAAAACACTCGTCAGAATCTATAACAAAAAATGTATGAATCTAATCAACCTACCCCATATGCTATACTTCTTAAATTGATGGCATCATTGCGCGCAAAATGACTATGCAATAGAAAACGAGTCATGAAAGTAGTTATTTAATTAAACTACCTTATCCATTTAATTTCATATACCTTAATTCATTTTGTTTTTTTGAGAAATATTAACACAAAAAAGAATCATTTTAATCTGCCATAAAAGCTAACTAGCACACATGCCTTTGCTATTTTACAATCAGTTTCAATACCTGTGTTAAAGACCTCCAATCAAGATTAGCTGATCCCAAATAAAAGTGCTTCGCATCAACTACCCAAAATTTCGTATGTAATACTCCTGCAAAATTACGAATTAAATAAAACCCAACAAGTTCAAATGTCCATATGGATTATCTTCGAGTAAGAATATACCATGTTAGTTATTTTGCAATATACTAATTAGTGGAAGCTTGTGAGTATTTATAAGTATATCTGGTATGGTTTGTGCAACTAGCTAATTTAATGTTCATTCAAATAAAGTTCAGATGAAAATGAACGTATCAAATTTTAGTTAACTAGCTTACCACTAGGAAACCAATTCGAAAAATTTAAACTGCGCACTTCAGCCAGTCCCTCATTTTCTAGTGTTCTGGTTTCGTTGTTATTTTGTGCATTTTGAACAATCCTCAGTTTAATGCCTTTTTTTGCTGCTTCAATCAACGAATTATATATTTCAGTACCCTTAATGTGAAGAAATAAATGTACGTCACCAAAAAATATTGCTCCGACAGAATTTAAAGAACAAAAGTAGAATAAAGTACTTCAAATCCGTTTTACAATTCTTTTAAAATTGTTGAAAAATTAAAATCCCACATACACATTGAAATAAATTTTATTAAAATTCCATATGTTTGGACTGACACACGCAAAACTTGACATGAGCAGTTATCTGTCTTAGTAATGTCTAATAAGCATGAAAACAAACATCTTGAGTTGATGGACCCCTGTAGTTGCCAGCACTTTCTGGAAGTAAACTCCAGTAAAACGATGCAATATCAATCGAATTTTCAGCAGAACTGATTAAGCGTTTCCATATTTCAGTTGTTGAAGGAAAACTTGAATGTGCAGGGTAAGTCATATTTTCGGGTATTGATTCCACAAAATGAAATCTGAAATTATTCATGAAGAAACTATTTCCAGCTGTGTCTGAATACATGACCAAATTATCACTAATAATATCATCTAAAGCAATTAAGTTTTAACTGGGTTACAATTGCAAGTATGTCATCGCGCCTTATCTATCTGAGTACCTTATTAGGTAACATGGTACTTTATCAGATAGAACTCTTCCTTTGTATTCTATGAGGTACTCAGATAGATAATTCCTTATACGGTATTCTATGAGAATCAATGAGGCGTAGAAAGAACAAGTGAAGAAAAAGAAAAAAAGGAACTAACTCGCAATTTTGTGGGCATGAATTGTTGGAATAAAGAAGTTCGGAAGAAGTCGAGGTGGAATTCGACGATACGAAATATTCGCTCGGTACCAACAAAGAAAGTATCTAAAAGGAGACATTCAAATTATGCAAAACAAAAGACCTAAAATATTTGAAAAAAAATTCGGAAATAACAAAAAAAAACCTACCTTCCTGCAAGGAATACATATTCCAGATGGTTTTCGGAACATTTCTTACCATATAATACATCCAGAAATACACCGAAGTCACTAATCTACTGCACCGTTAGCAAACCTTCATGTTTAAATTTAAAAACCCTAACGAAGACCGAACTCATCACACAGACTTTCGAGATTTCAAGAAAGTACGTATTTGAGAGAATTAGAGATAAGAAGCATCTTTTAATAGTGAGTGGCAGTTGAGAGAGTGGTGGACTGATGAAATTGATGAGATAATACGTTTACTCCTGCTATGGCATAAAATTAAAGCAATGATGGAGAGGAAAATAGTATGATGAATATGTTAGAAAAAAATGAAAGATTGATGGAAATTGGAAAGATAATACTGTAATGAAGAGAAAGATAGAAGAGTTAGGCAGTTATAATTATATTTTTGAATTACTATTTCGGAGTAAAAATATTAGGATGAATATGAAAGGTAAATAATTCTGAGTATTTTTCTGGACAATTACAAAATTTAGTAAATTAGCAAATCTAATGAAATTAATTAGCATATAGCATTAAGAGAAAATACCTTAACAGCTCTCAAAGGTAAGCTTTATTTGGAGAAGAAATTCCAAGGTTTCACTTCATCTCATATATGCTATTTATATCACTCATAGAAGATAAAAGCTGTCACAATTTAACTCGGATAAAGAACACGAACATACCAGAGGTGAAAAAGCGGATATACCGGTGATTAGAATGATAATGATACCTATTACGCCGACAATAGTCTTCCAATGTTTCATTTTTCTGCGCCTTTCTATGAATAATTTTTTATTTATATATATATATATATATAGAATTTTTTAATACATAGGCATAAAGTGCGTAACGAAAAAGCTTTGTTAATAATACGATATTATGGCAGCTTATTAATAATAATATTATGGCAATTTATTAATGTGAAATTAATATTAATACTATGATAGTTTATTAATGAGATATTAATATTAATATTATGGCAACGATTATAATAATTATGACTCAATTATTAATGAAACTAGAGAAGCCTAGTTTAGCCTAGTTTAAGTTGCATGAAAATACAGATTGAAGTGATATATTAGTGCTTTGTTAACTTTCTTAAAGCATATATCATTTACATAACAGTATTTTACATTTCTTAATGAAATTAATTAAAAATTTAAAACTAATTTCAATAGAATCGGCACGCTGTCTTTTGTTTGCAATCGGAAATTTCAATAGAATCAGCATGCTGTCTTTTGTTTCCATTTAAAGTATATATCATTCATATAACAATATTTTACATTTCTTAATGAAATTAATTAAAAATTTAAAACTGATTTTAATAGCATCGGCACGCTATCTTTTATTTCCAATCAGAAAAGAGAAAAAAAGCAACTAAAATTTATCGCAGCTAAAAAGTAAAAAATGAATAGATAATGTGTTTGCGAACACAACTGGAATAGGATGCTGATCATTTAAAATGATAATGATAGTGATAATGATAATGAGAGCACTTTAAAACAAAGAAATCAATTCAACAAATGTTTCAGTCTATGTTATATGAACTTTCAAAGTTAGCTGAAAAGCATACAAAGTAATAGATAACTATTAAGTATATTATTAAATTTGTGAATAATTATGCTTGAAACTTTACGCTCGAATTTTTGTTATCCAACTTTATCTTATGTAATTGTGTAATTGATAAGTTATCTTTATACAGCTAATCACTTAACTTCTCTCAGTTATCTTCATATAGCTAATCATTTAACAGTGAACAATAATAATGCTAACAGATTCAAATAACTACAAAATCAAAAATGATTTAACTGAAAAAGATTTCAATAATTTTTGTTGAAGAAGGATTACTTCTTCTCTCATTATCAGTTATCAGCTGTATGATCAGCTTTTAACTGATATTTCCAAAAAATTATGATAATTTTTGTTTTTTATTTTTTGATCGCGATAATTTCGTTTTTCTTCTTTGCATAAAACTTCATGAAATAAAATTTAGCAACATATTTTATGTATTAAACTAAATTTATTGAAATTTAAAATTAAAGAACAATTATCAGTGATATTTAGGTTAATATTTTATTCCTTATTCAAAATATTCTAATTTAATTCCAATCAATTTTATGTATCAGTGATATTATTAATGATATTTTCAATTATCAATGATATTTTCATCGGCTAAATTTATTGAAATTTAAAAATAAAGAACAATTATCAGTGATATTTTCATTAGCTCTTAATTTTCATTTCAATAAAGTAAGTAATGGAAAAAGAAAGAAATGAAAAATAGTTCGGTGGAAAAATTAAATTTAGCAAAAATTTATTTGAATTGAATTGATATTTGCAGCCAGAGTTACCTGTTGTATTCCACTTTAGAAATGAATAAACTTAAAGTGCTTAGACTTAGCTTGCTTATATAGGATCAGTCATTCTAACATAATTAATTTTTAATAAGTAATAATACATTTATAGTAATATATTCACTCTGCTTCTTTCAAATCTAAAATATAATTTAGACGATATTGCCGCGACAACGATACATATTATTGATATCGTAAGAAAGTAAGATCGTAGAATTTTATTTATAATAGTATAATAATAGTATAATAGTATAATAGTATAATATATCCATAAAAATATAACGCATATTTTGTCTATCAATAGCTATAATTAAATTTTTTCAAATTATTTTCCTTATTCAAAATATTCTGATTTAATTCCAATCAATTTTATATTTAAGCTTTAAAAACAAAATGCTTTCCATTATTTTAATTTAACTGTCAGTAATTAATGAAATTTTAATTGTGAGTAATTAACTGTGAGTAATTATTTGAAATGAAATTATGCAATAATTTTATTCATTTTAGCAAGAGATGGAATGATTGTTTATAATGGAATGATTGTTAAAATTACTGTAACAATTAATAGCAATGGAAAGTTTTATTTTCTTTTATCACAAATGATTTCACTAAAAAATAAATATCTGTTTATATTTCACAAAAATATTTTTGTTTACATAAATATTTTTTGTTTACAAGATAGTATAGAAATATATATTAATTAATGTAAATGAATAAACAGAATAATTTTTACAAATACCGTTAATTGAATAAATAAAAAATAATCGAATAATTTATTTATTGAGTAAAGCTAAAAGAAACGTTTATATAATAAGTAAAAAATTAAATTAATTGGAATTAATAATTTATTAATTAGGGAGGGAGAGAGAGGAAGAGAGAGATGATGAAAATAGAAATAAATGTAGAAAGAATAAATTATATATCATACATTATATACCATACGTATTATTCTTTCTACTTTAATTCTCTAGCACATTCATTTCAAATTTGTAATGAAGTTATCACAATTCTTACTTTACTTTAGCAAGTATAAGCATAGGAATGCAAAATTACATATGACTTCTTATAGTCTCACCTGTAATTTAATTTTTTTTGAAATAAATAAAATTAATAGCAGAAATTCATTAACAAAATTGTATGTGCAAAACAAAATTCAATATTTTTTTAATGCAGAAAATAAAATATATAATTGCAGAAAATGATTGAACGCAGAAAATAATTGAACGGAAAATAATAGAAGCTAAAATTTAATTATATTGAACTTAGTAAGATGAATTAAAATGCTTTGCAATTAAAATCAGTCTAATTAGTATCAAATTTTAAAATGATTTATTATATCATACTAAATTATAATATTATTAGTTAATAGCATTATTAAAATTTTTTTAGCTGATCGTTTCTTTTTTTCGAAATTTCGAAAATCCTTTTATCAACATTGTAATAAAACTCTCTGTAGAAAATTATAATTTATACGGTCTTTAGTAAATCCAACAACAAATGTTCCCAAACTAAAATTATGGTTAATTCTTCACTTCAATTTATCAGATTTTAGAGATCGATGTTGATGTTTCGGCGATCTGTATGATTGACTATTTATTTCACAAATATTCACGAAAGCAATTTTTCATTATCGTTGAAATCTTGTAGTATCTGTCAAATTAGGATTGCTACAAATCTTTCAGTATCAGTTTATTAAAAAAAAATACAAAATAAAAAATAGTCAATGATTCTCTAATTCTTCGATGAAAAGAATCATTCACTATATTCAGCGATAGATTATGATTCTGATATTTCTTGATCAGTGAAACTTGAAACTTACTTTTATTCGATGATTTCAAACAAATTCGAATATATAATTCGAATATGTATTTTTGTTTATTTACTAAGCTAAACTAGTAAAAAAAAAGAAGAAACTCAATTTGAACTTTTGAACTGTCGAACTGTCAAATTAATTTGAACTGTCAAACTTAAATTAATTCCGATACTACGTATTCTTCTCAAGCATAAAAATTGTATCGAAAATTCATCTAACATTGACAAATGTGCGACATTTGAGAGGGATGCAACGCTGATACTTTAATTATCATTTTTAAATTACCGTTTAAGACTGCCATATTGAAATATTTCGAAATTTCTATTGTTTTATGAATAAAATTTTAATGAAAAAAACTGGTGATATGAATTAAATTCAAATGAAACTGAACATTCCATAATTTTTAAATCTTTTTAATAAATTGTTTTTCCAATATTAAAATTATTTCACAATAAAATAGATGGAACACGAAGGCATGAATCAATATGTATGTTGATATGATAATATATATCACTATGAGAGTAAGAAGAATGAAAATCTTCGGTTCTAATTTGTGATGAAAATTTAAAAAATTCAACTCAAATCTTTCTTATCATCACTATCACTACTTCATTATGATGAAGAGTATTTTACAAACTTTTTAATTCCGAATTTACCACTGAAATAATAAATTTTCATATATCTAAAATGTATTATTGAACTGTATCAACATCATGTTTCATCTTAGCAATAGTAATAATAACAATAATAATAATAAGATCACCTAATGACAGATGTATTAGGTTTTCAGAAAGGTACGTCAAAAGTATTATTTGACATATAAATGGAAACAATACATATTTTTTTCAATGATATGAAAATATATATATTTAGTTCAACTGATCAAAAGATTATTGCATAATCAATAACATTATGGCAATAAATAAACAACTCTCAACAATAGAATAAATAAATAAATAATCGATGAGAAGAGAAAATTAAATTTATTTAAATTCCATTTATGCAAGAATTGCTAATTCCTATATAATAGCTATATTGCTTTATCGTACGATAAACGACAAATTAAAATGTAAGATTATCAGCGGCAAACTAATGGAAATTTGAGCATGATAAAATTTATTACTTTGTAAAATTTTAGTATTTAATTTTTGCTTAATTACAAATTACACTAATTTTTATAATTGTGCTCGCTTAATAAAGAAAAACAAAATTAAAATATAAGTTTAAAACAAACTAAAGCCTTAAAAACATTCCGACAAAATTTATTGTTGAAGCAAAAAATCTGTCCCTAAATCTACTTTTATTTATTTATTTTACTTTTTTAATAATCAGTCACAGCAATCACAAATTTCGAAACTTCAATATTTGTTCAAATCAAATATTCAATAAAATTTCTTTCGATTAGGAAATCGATTTTCCACTGCTAGCTATATGCAAACCATCTTTATCATCCCACAATAAAAGCGCTTCATCAGTTAGTTGTGGATGAGGTATTCGGAATGCACCTTGTCGTGGTTTACTTTGGTTCAACGATAACTGCTTCAAAAGATCATCAATATCAATGTGTTCCGAGCCTACACAAAGATTCAGAATCCAACGTACACTGGTTTGTTTCCATTTCTAAAACTAATAAGTGTAAGGATTCTAAAAATTAAAGATTCTGAATCAATAAAACTTATAAAAAATGTAGCAAATTGTAATTTACTGTCTATACAGTATAAAACAATCGATATAAACATATGTAAAAATAAGGATAATAGACAAAATTCTGGACAGTTAACGTAATACTAATTGATTTTACGATGTTTGCTAAATTACGGAATTACGATGTCTTTTTTACCCAGTTATGCTATTTATTTTAAGCAACTAAATTTCGGTTACTTTCAACAACTGATAGATGTAATATTAAAAATGTTTTTTTGTGCAAAGAAATTGGCTAAATAACTAACTTCAATAGCTCGACAGAATCCATTTGTAGTGATTGCACTATTATCTATTCGAAGAACAGTTTGTTCCAAACATTTCGTAGCTTTGCCTTCCAGAAAATTAGCCAGGAATTGATCATCACCAATGGCTGTCTGAGGTGTAAGAGCAAAAATGCTCAAAAAGCTAAGACTAAGAAATTCAGAAAGGAATTGTCGAGAATTATTTATATGACCATGATTACCGCGTAACCAAATGAGTGATAATTTCTGACATTCAATCAAATGAAGAAATTGATGGAATCTGAAATTTATTAGAATTAAAATCAAAATTAGAAATCATCCAATCATTTCTGATGACTAATAGAATTTTTTACTTATAGTTTGCTTTGTGACAACACCACTGATTTTTCAGCATCTAATTATAAATTACAAATGATGTAATAATTTTCAACAATTTATTAATTTGATAATTTCTACATTCAAAGCAAATATACATAGCAACAGTTTAAATTCAAACATATGTCCAAGTTATTCAATATTATAGTAACTGTTACCTATAATTATAATAAAGTATTTAAGTATTAGATGTTAAAATATTAGATCTGATAAAGTATTAGATAAAAAGGAACTTATTTTGTAAACAATACTTTTGACTAAAATTTAGAATGAAAAGGTAACAGAAAAGAAAGACTTACTTCTTTGGAGATACATAAGTTAGCTTGCACATGCTTATTTCCACTTTTCTACATCGTATTTTACATGTTCCAAAAACTTCTAAAAGACGATCTACGAAACGATCCGTAAATCGCATTTCAGTTAATCTTAAAAAATGAATATCCGCTTCACGGAAATATTTCGCAATTCGTTCGCATAACAATTGTGATGGTGTATGTTCTTGCCGCTTTCGTTCATCGTGATCCTATAGACTTGAATAAGTTAAACAGCAAACGACAATATTCCATTTAATTTAATTAAATGAATGTATATACTATAATGCTTTTGTATATTTTCGAAAGATACAACCATTAAATTTCAACATCTCATTTCATAGTTAAATTCATTCTAATTTCCATTCCGTATTGTGTCATTAACTGACAGGTAAAATATTTTAATTAATCTGTTGTTTAAAAATATGTAATTGATTTATGTTAATGCAATTAGACGTTTGATAGTTAGTAAATATTTCGAAAATTAATATTAAAATATGCGATAGAAAGATTTTAAAAGTTTTCTCTTTAAAAGTTCACTTCTCATTTTTAGTAACGAAATTGAATTTCCATTTATTAAATATATTAAGTGCTAAAGTACTAATTGATATTGTCATATTATGTTCTGCGTTTTTTTAAATGTATATATATTAATGTGAAAAGTTATTTTATCGTTCTCACAATATCGATAAATTCATACATTTAATTCTCAATTAAGAAATTTCAGAAATCGAAAAATTAAATAAAGAAATTCAATCCTAACAAATATCATGAATATTGATTTTGATTTGTGGAAAAGATTATCATTAGAATGCTTCCTTCGTTTAGCTATAAGTATGAATAGATGAAAATGTGATGTGTGATACAGAAATGCAACAAATAACCTTATTACTTGTTTAATCTTTTCTTAACCATAAATTAGTCTTGCAAACTATATCATAAATATCAAGAGAAAAAAATGTAAATATTTTTGCATTATTACTTAATTCACCGGTTTCTCTCGGTACTACCAGAAGTAATTGTCGCATGATCGTACTTCGCTTCAAAATTTTCAAGAAAAATATCGAAATATTGAAAGAGAAATAGAAGTTAAAATTGCTCACCTCCGTATGCCAATTACTCTCATTTGATATATTCGGCAGTAAGACAGGTAGGTAAGAATTAGATGGAGAAGCCTGTCCTACACAAATAAGCAGATGAGGTAATTTTGCTGCAGATCGTCGTTGTTGTTGTTGTTGCTGTTCCTGCTCATTCACATTATATCGTTGCTGCTGCTCTTCTTCATTATTGTCAAATGTTGTTAAAGTTCTGGTACGTCGTCGTTTTCCAAGGCGGAAAGGCAAGCGATTTGTAATATGTTCGCAAAATGTCCAACTTTTCAAGATATTTGAACAACTGGAAAAAATTATTGAAATCGTTTAACTTTTGGTATAATAATTTAAAATAATCCTCAAAAAAATACTTTGGCCAAATAAGGTTAAGAAATTCATATTTTATTTCATTTTCTTAAATTTAGTACATGCAAGGAAAATATTAATACATATGAGCATATAATCTTTGATATACTATTAGTATAATCAATTAACTTTTTGATTGTGTTATGCAAATTAGTTACCTAAAAAATCCAGACCAGAGGTCATCCTGATATAGCAAACTATAATTCTTGATTAAATTTTATTTATCCATTCTATATGCAATACTTCATTTCCGATTATTTCTACTGAAGTTTCGCCTATTTGCAAAATTTGATAACAATGTAGCAAAAGCTCTCTCACAGCAGAAAACTTTTACATTGCAGGAAAAATCACTTTTAATTAAAGAATTAAAAATATTCCTCCTATATTAACTTCATCAATGTTTGTGTGTATATACTAAACAGCTGTTTAAGAATACTGTAAGAATGGATAGAATAGCTATATGCTGTCGTTTACAATTACCATGTAAACATTTCTAACCACCGCTTCACCCCCATCTTAACTAATTCACACAGTTAAAATTAGCGCAGTTGCTTCGAAAGGCTATCAATCAGATTTGTTCAACATTCCTTGATCCCTATATCTCAATATTTCTACACTTGTTTTAGCATTTGTTCACAATTTACTACAAAATTAATTATCAAAATGTCACCTAAGCCAACTATTAGCAATTTATTCAACATATCAGCAAACAATGGAAATTAAATTGACATTATTTACAAAAGTCTTAATTTGATCTTGAAAAATGAATTTCCCTGGTAAGTTACGAGGAACAAAAGAATTCGTATAGAATATTCACAGAGCTATTCACAGGCGATTTAATAGCATTGTTAAATTTTCACACAGTAATTATCGAAATTGCTAATGTAGAATATTATCCGAAAAGAGCTCTAAGATTTAAACTAGCTACTCGTTTTTCAAATCATCTTATTTCAATCGGCAAACAAGTGGTAGCATTTTTCGGAATAAGCGAAAATTTCAGAACCATTGTTTTTGACATATAGAGCTTTCTATTTCGTAATGAAGTTCCAGCTTCGTTGTATATGTTAGATTTATCTAGAAACTAATGCCTAAATCGCAGCATAACTTAATTCGGTTCTCTTATCTGCCTATAAGAGTCTAATTTGAGAAACTAAGATTATTTAGCACATTATTGTTCAGAAATCTAAAAATCATCATTTATCTGACAGTAGGAATTATCAACTTTTTAATTTAATTGGAGCTTTCACTTCTACAATACTATGTATTGAATGAATTGTAATATGAAATATACTTTAAAGTGAGGATGAATCGAGATTTGTATTCCCGAAGTTCGAGCATTTGTACGAGATGTTTCCTGAGTGAATGATTGTTACGATCGATCATTTCCTTCCATCTTTTGCAGACAAATCGACAGTTATCAATATCATATCGTGGTAAATGCTTCAAAATATGCAGATGTATTTCAGGAGGTAACGATGATATTGCGAATGTTGTTCCAACTTCTTCATTATCCTGTTTTATGAGATATTTATAAATTTGTGGTCGAATTTATAAATTAACTTTTTTTAAAGTTGAATTCCTTAATTCGCCAGATTGAATTCTTTCTTTAGACTTTTAGTTTATCCTGAATTTGTCAAAAATTTTGCAGCAATCAATTAGCAGCTGATTTATTCATATAAGCATCTTCAGGATTTTCTTAGGTTAGAAAAAAGCAAATTTAGGAATAGGTTTATATTAAAAAAAATATATATATATATCATCGGTGATTTCTATGGATTACATTTGTTTGTTTGCGCAAAATATCCTACCTGTACATACCTGGTGATAGTTAAATGAGGATGAAGATGCATTTTGGCTCATATAACATGATTCCAGAAGAAGATTGGTCGATGTTGCTACCTTGACCACTGCTTGCGAAACTTGCATAATTGATGTGGTTGAGGATGATGAAATTGTCGCTGCGGTCGCATATGATGTTGACGGCAGCTGAAAAAAAACTTCTCGATTTTCACTGAACAAACATTTGACAATGTTAAATTGGATTTTTTAGTTGCTATTGTCATTCTAATGTGTCACAAATACTTCAAACTTGTACAGTCATTATTAAATCAACCTTATCAAGTTCAAACTTGTACAGTCATTACTAAATCAACCGTATTAACTTCAAACTTGTACAATCATTATTAAATCAACCTTATCAAGTTCATAAATCATAAATTTTTCGCTTATTGAATTTTTCTTTCTTCAAATTTTACAATGCTTTCAATGATAGTAATTTTTTAATTGATAGCTTCTCGGTATTTATGCAAACAAAAAGCTATAAACTATTCGTATTATAACTAATCTCATCAAATTTAAATTTAATTTTTTGAGTGATAAAAAAACTTATTTTCTTATTGTAAGATAATAACATAGGTGAAGCAAAATAAGCTCATAATTATAAAGATGAAATAGTTGCCAGTCAGTATAATTCAATAACAATTTACAAATAGAATTTTCGTATAATTGAATTTCTGAATTCTAAGAGCCAAAGATAGAGGATAGTAAAATAGATATAGATAGTAAAATACCAAAGATAATAAAATAAGGCGCAAACATAGAAAGAATATTTGAGAGTTAGTGGAAGATTCTATTCAAGATTAATTGAAGAAGGAAGATAGATTTGATTTATAAAATTACATTGAAAAGTTTTAAAAATAAGATAAGATAATTAAATATGCTAATTCATAGTTAAACAATTAAGTTAACAATTCAAAAGTATTTTAGGGGAGAAGAGGAACAAATTAAAACTTTAAAATTTAAATATAAAGGTGAATGAATTTAACAATCATTGCAAAATTCATTCGGAAAAAAAATTGGAATCAAAAAGCAATTATACCTGCTCAGCGCAAACGTCGGCTGCCATATGAATTAAAAATCAAAGCCACATGAACCAACTAGCAGCAATAGCTCTTAACTGTATATTTGGTAAATATAGATGATGATCAAGGGAGGAGCAGCTGGAGAATAATTTTGAAAGTGTGAAATTTCGACAATATAGTAGGCAATGATAGATGATGATAATGATGATGATGATGATGATGATGGTAGTGGTGGTGGTGATGATGGAGTGATTTGAGATAGATGAAATTGTGGATTTTATTTTTGACTGTCACTAAGTAAATAATTAAATAATAATTTAATTCCTCTTCAATTTTTGAAAATTGATAAGCAAATCCTGAAAAGAAGCTTTTATTATTGATAAAAAGAAAATGTTGATATAAATATCGAATTGCATTAAACATATCGTAAAATAAGATTTATACAATTAAATTAAGTAATTGTTCGATAAAATTTAAAAGAACAAAAAACTAATTTAAATAATTTAAAAATAAAAATTAATTCAAGTAATGAATTCAAAATTATAAGCTATTATATATTATTGTTATAGTTAGTGGTAATTTTAAGCATTAAATATCATAGCGATCAATCAATATGATAAAGCTATGATAACATAAAATTTATATCAAACGAAACGAATGGTTTAAGAAAAAGAAAACATGCACGAAGGAAGGAAAATTATGTGACAACTTTGTTTCGAAAATTCAATCATATGAAAATGAAAAGGGTTGTAATAAATGAATCATTCCGATCGAACTACTACTACTCATTTTTTCTGTTCAATATCGCTCATTATAAAATGCACATTTTGCGGGATATAAAAATACTCATCCAAAAAGATTCCACTCGTTTTCTTCTTATCCGATACATACAAACTACCAATTGGATGACAATTTTTATGACAGCCAGAAAAAATAAATAAATAACATACCGTCTCCAGCAGGAAATGCGCACACACATACATACATGAACATAAAATATTCCCATCATAATGGGAAAGATAGGATTCTCGGAAAGAGAGAGAGAGAGAGAGAGAGAGAGAGGAGTACGGTATGAAATGGCTTATAATATGAAATTATCGCCGGTAGTTCTGTAATAAATTTAATTGGCATTGGAAGTTGAATTTGAATTGATGAAGGTAGAAATAATAAGAAAATCAATAATAGTATATTTAAAAAACTGATTGATTTAATTTTTAAAATATCATATTGAAAGTTTTAGTGATAGAAGACTATATGAGAAATGTGATAGCATATGTTAGTAATAAAAGAATTTTTTAATTAAAATTTAAAAAGAAAAGAATTAGTCTAAGAAGAATTAGAAATTTGAAAAGAAGAATTAATCTAATAAGAAATGAAGTTTTGGAAAGAAGAATTAGTCTAATAAGAATTGAAGACTTAAAAAGAATTGATCTAATAAGAATTGAAAATTTGAAAAGAAGAATTAATCTAATAAGAAATGAAAATTTGAAAAGAAGAATTGGTCTAATAAGAATTGAAGACTTAAAAAGAATTGATCTAATAAGAATTGAAAATTTGAAAAGAAGGATTAATCTAATAAGGAATGAAAATTTAAAAGAATAATTAGTCTAATAGGAAATGGAAATTTGAAAAGAAGAATTAATCTAATAAGGAATGAAAATTTAAAAAGAAGAGTTACTCTAACAGGAAATGAAAATTTGAAATTAAATACTGAGAATATTCGATAAGAATAAAATAACAAAAAATGTATGAAATGTGTATCTTAAAAAAATGTTTATAAAATTAATTTTACAACACCTGTACACTTTTATAGGAATTATTTAGGCGAAAGTACAATTGTTCTTTTAATTTTCGTTTTTTGCGAAAACTGGAAAGTTTGCATTTTTCCTTTTTTAATGAAATGAACGAAATTAGTGAATGATATATTTGTAGGAAGAAAATTCAGGATATATTGAAAGGTAAAAATTTACGCTTACCTAAAAATGGAAACAAAATTTTAGTGTTGATAATTGAATTTTAGAGAAGGAAAAATTTGTTAAAGCTATTTTTGAAATTTAAATAAAAATTTGCATACGACAAAAAAAAAAGAAGATGGCGAAATAAAATAAAAGAAGATGTAATTTTAATTTTATCAAACAATGATTGAAGGATATTCTCGAGAATGATTAACGATATTCTCGAGAATGATTAGTATTTAAAGTGAATGCTAATAATGTTTGTAAAATATTTCAGGTTGATGTTTGATTAAAGAGGGCATGTATGTCCTTGTAAGAATTGAAGGTCGAAGAAAATGTCACATTTGTGATTTCAAAATTGAAATCACTTGAAGGCGTGAAAATTACAATAGTGCATGAATTATAAAGTGCATCACCTCTAACCTTAGCATGCAAATAAATTGACATTTGTTAACGTCTACTTGCATTCTCGATGAATAATGCAAAATATTTCTACTAATATTAATGAATTAATTTATTTTTCTTTCATTGAACTAACTGTTACCTGTTTTCATTCTACAAGAAAGGCCTAAATATGTGATATAGGTGAAAAATACCGAATGATTCAGGTAATAAATTATTTTCACAGACAGATGTCAGCATCAAGGGATTATAGTAAGATGACATTTGTTTAGCTTCACTGTATTAAATAATGTTATCTTGTCTAAAATATTATCATAATCGGCTTAAACATACATGTTCTTCTTATCCTCTACAATGATTGCAGCACATTTGGTACGAATAATTTAAATTTCTCATATTTCAAATTCTAATTTAAATACAGGTATTAATAAAGATTTCTTTTATTGTAATAGTTTGATAAATTTGAAACTATCATTTAACAAATTTTAAGAACAATCTATTTTAGTTGGAATATGAGAAATTTGTTCTTGTTTTTCTTCTATCAAATATTTCGACAAAGAAGTAAGAAAGAAATTTCATCATTAATCCATTATATATTATATTGTTTAGAATTGCTTCGGACTCTGTGATATGTCAAAAATAAAAGTATTAATCTTTTCTTCTAGAAAAATCTTACTACTATTTAACATAAAAAATTATTGACACCATAAATACCGTAGTAATTGTTTATTCAAATTTGTAGAAATATTTGTTCACAAAAATTAATTTCTATAAATTACATCAACTATATCTTCAGTGTAAATGAGATTAAATGAAAGATTAGAAGTAAAAAGGTATAAAACAATCTGCATAAATGAACTTGCATAAATAACCAGTGGTTATTTCCTCCTGTTCATTTTACTCTCTCCAGCCTATACAAATAAACAACACATCTTCTGATCTATTAACTATTATTTGTAGATATAGACTTTCTGAGAAATTCCTTTAAAAAATTTGAAATTCCTTGGCTGCCTAATAAAACTTCCATTGATATAATACGGTATCTAAAATTATCAGTGTTAGTGTGTTTTCCACGTTACAAATCGCTACCATAATCAATCAGGTGATATGATAGAAAACAGGCAGTATTCTTCCATTATGCTATGACGCATAATCTCAAATTTAAAACAGTCAAATTTCATGTTAAGAATTTCATCTGATTCCTTTAATTCAAAGTATTCAATAGATGCTAAATTAAAATTGCACATAAAAAGTTAATATCAAGCTTAGTGATTTTGTCTCAGGACGTAATTTGCAAAATGGATACTGTACTTTAATCAGTGATAACAAAACTATGATAAGAAAACTTTTGTCAATTTTCGTTTTTTCTAAAAACTCCTGAAATCAACCAGTATATATCAATTTAAATATAAGAAACAAATGTATTTTCATTTAAAGCAATATTTAATCTCATTCAGAAATGAGTAAAAATCTAATTTTCACTCTTGATCAGATAGATGATCGGTCGTAATGATTGATGATCGATCATAATAATTGCTAAATTACTGTATGAAAATTCTCAATCAACAAAAAAATTAATCAAGTAAACGAAAACAAAGAAAACTTGAGATCCTAAATGAATATCATAGGAATAATGAAAAATGACCTGAATGCCAAGATGGTCATTCATTTCTTATTCTCAACAGCTAAAATATCTGGACAACAACAAATTATCCAGATATTTCGTACGCCCAAACATACATATATATTCGTGTACATATACACACACACATACACC